TCTATCGCCGTGACTGTCGTTCCGGTTCCAAAAAAATCACAGTGATAAATCATTGTGATTTTGTACGACTGTTACTTCCGTGACCTTGTCATGCCTATAACTTACATCACGATATACGGTTTTAGTCAGCGGCTTCTTTCTAATACTTATAGCCGTTTTTTATAGAATGATTTAAGTTTTTACTCCCTTTGTAATAAGTTTCAATTCCATTCAAAAAGTAGATTTTCTATTTTTATTTTAATGTAATTTTGTTTGTTACTTATTTAATGCGAATCTTTGGATTGTTAAAAATAGCAACAAAATGTAATGTAATTATATTTCTAGTAAAATACACAAAGTAGATTATACATAAATATAAAATACCAACTCTTCCTATAATAAAACAAATATACAAAAATATTTTACTTTGTTCATAAATAGGTTTATAATAACTGCTGCAGATTTTTTTCATCCGCCTTTTCTAGTAGTAATAAGCACCTTCAACCCTTGTGAGTGAGCAAAGAAAGTCATCCTATTTCATTCACTCCCATCGTCGAAATGGCCCGTTTTGAAGAGAACTACAACGAGTGGCGCGCTCAGTCACCACGGAACGGAGATCGCGCATTGTATCAAATACGTATGTCGTGATGTGAGTGACGGGGATAGCTATTGGAACGGAGGAACACCTACAGTACGCGCGCGAGTTGAAGGCAGAGCTTAGGAATGCGCTAGTGCTGTGACCTAATTAGTCATAAGTAATCTCATCAAACGATAAATCACACCCTAACTAAAAGTATTGGTAGTAATCTTTCAAAAATATTTTAAATATCGATTAACATAATAATAAAACAAAATTATAATAATCACACATTACTATTTCTATATACATTATTTATTTCTTGAATGGAGAAATTAAAACCAATGTAATTTAATCATCATCTGATTCTAAAATAACAGTCAGGTCAGAATCGGAGTCACTATTATCGCCTTCGCTGACCTCAATCACGAATTGATCTATAGTATCTTCAATTAATGCATCTCTTTGCCAATAATTTTCTTCTAAAATAATTACGTGATCATCAAAGCCACGCCAATCTTCCTCTGAAATCTGACCGAGTGCCAGCTCCGTAACTTCTTTTAATCTTTTTAAAGATAAATCAGAATCGACATTGTGTTGTCTTACTGTGCTTTTTAATTTTGCCCAAGGCAACTCAATTGGGTTGAGATCGCACATGTACGGCGGTAGTCTCACTACGACATGGCCATGACTCCTGATGAATTCGTCAATTTTGAAAGTCTTTTCAGTAGGTTTATGCAACTCAATGAAATGAAAGAGCTCATCTTTTCTCATTGTAAGTGACGCTTCCACATTATTTTTGTTTAACCATTCCAACATTACCGGTTTGGTGCAGGACTTCGTGGGGACTTTATTTCCTTGTACGCTATGATATGGTGCGTTGTCCATCACGACAACACTATTCTGTGGCAGATTAGGAATCAACATTTCATTGGCCCACTTTTAAAAATTTATGCTATTCATTATTATTCATTCATCGCTGATGTAGTACCAGCTTTAAAAAGTAACTTCGCGTTGTTTAAAAAGCCCCCTCTTGATCCCGCGTGAACAAGAATGAGCCTATTTGTGGAGCTGGTATCCGTCAACACTGCATCGATCATTTCATTCTTTTCATTCTTCTCATTCATTTCATTCTCTAGCATTTTTTAAAAGTAAGGTTATTGTCAATCCACGTTTCATCTAAAAAAAATATATTCCGGTCTTCTTGTCTATACTGACGTATTTTTCTCAAATATATTGACCGAGCAAATACAACAGCTGGCCTTTCTACCAAACTACGATGTTTATTATGACATTTTAGCCATTTATATCCCATCTCTTTTAATAGTTTTCTTAAACTTGTCGCTCCCAATGGAAATTCAATTTTTTCTCTAATAGATGCCAGAAGTCTAGGACAAGTAGGGACAATTTTTTTTGTTAAATAAAATTCTTCTATAGTCTACTGTATTACACTTCTATCAAAATCATCGACGTTTAAATTTTTGCGTTTGTTACACGATCTCCCTCTTTTAGAAGGCGAACGAAGAGGTCCTTCTTTAGCTTCTTTTTTTATTCTAGCTAAAGTTCTTTCAGATAGTCCAGTATAACCGCTAGCTCGGCCGAAAGAATCGCTTACAGGTGAAGTCAAAAAGTTGTTCTGTTTCTCTACAGTACACATATCCAGAACCTTTTTCGCCATTTCTCGTGCTTGGCGATGAATAAAGACACGTTTTTTTGTACCGGAACATGAAGGAATCGGATCAGTCATGTTTAAAAAAAAAACAATAACACAAGACGCCTGAAAAGGACAGTGGAGAGCAGAGGGGGTAGGCAGGCAGCGGCTGAAGGAAACTATCTTAAATAAAAATAAGATAAATATTTTTCGCAGCTTTCACTTCTGACTTAAACAAACGAATAGTAAAAACTACATATGTCAAAAGTGTAAAAAACGTAAACGTAATTCAAAATATAAAAAATATTTACAAAGGAGGTCTGTCGCCAACAACGCCACTTGAGTACACGATTCAGTGAGCATATAGTAATTTTAATATCATTGACACGATTGGTAATAAGCGTCATCGATAAATGTCAAGAACAACAACACTACGCTAAGGGTGTGCGGAGTGAGGCGTGCGGATGGCGGGACGAGATGCTACCGCCCGTCACCTCAGGCCCCGACTGCCATCAACTAGCGCGCGTACTATATGTGACTTTGGAACGTCGTACCTTCGGAACGACGTACGACGTTCGGAACGAATCACGGTGATACTGTTTGCCGGCGGATCATCGTGATTTTTTCATCGTGACGTTATTTATCACCCACCTCTACCTTTCAGGAAAGGTTCACAAGAGCACGTCTGAGTGTCTTTTTGTAATATTCGCACCCACCGGGACTTGTCGCGGACTCTGCACAGCGCTTGCATCTAACGACGAGTCGAGTCCCTTTTATTGGACACCCTTGTATTGTAAACTGTTGTACAATAAACCTAATCTTCTTCACCAAATTTCGTCGTTTGATTCCTGGACGTAGTAAGGGGGCATCAGCGAGCGAATCTCTGCCACCCCGTACGGGGTGTACGGGGTGGTAGAGACTCCTACTACAGTATTTTTATATTAACATAACACAAAAAATCACAAGGAAAAAATTATGCAAGTAGTCTAAATCAGCCTTTCCCAAAGTGGGCGATAACGCCCCCTTGTGGGCGCTGCAGGCCTAAAGAGTAAGAGACCCAGAAAAAAAATGGGGGCGTTGTGTAGAGGCTCAGGGGGAGATTTGTAATTTCATCTAGGAAGACTCTTAGACAGCGACTGAGCTCTCGACTCTCGACTACAACTTTTGAACATCAATTAATATTAATTAAGAGATTGCTCAAACTAACGCGGTTCGATATTTCTCTCCGTGTAGTTCATATATCTGTCCTGTTTTATTGAATGAATAACATAAAGATCATTTCAATCGGTCGCTCCGTTTCGAAATGAAAGTAGACACAAACACACAAATAAAAAGGCTACAGACACAGTTTCGCATTTTAATAGTTATTAGTATTCCTAGATAGGTAATTTTCGTAGATAATAAACCGCGGGCAATCATGTTTTAACAAGTTTTTGTTAAATAACCCGATTTGTGCATTCCTGTATCAATCGGCTGGTTCATAGAATACTTGTTCTTACTTGTTGAGTACGATTGAGCGTCGAATGAGATAAACGAGTTTATGCATGTTTGTCTTATTCCTGTCGGTGAGTGCTGCTTATGGAATCCTTATATAATAATATAAACAACGTAATATTTATTTTATTTTCATTTGCGCCTAATAGATAAGCAGTACTTAAGTTCACCACTTACTTACGTATTTCTCAATACAATACAATGTCGGAAGTAAAAAAGAAGAGACGGCAATACTGCGCGGAATATATTAAATTCGGATTTATTGAAAATCCCACAAACCCATCGTCGCCTTTGTGCCTTCTATGTCTAAAAACATTTTCGAATGAAACAATGAAGCCTTCAAGACTGCAAGATCATTTGAATAAAATGCATCCAGATAAGAAAGACAAGAATGTAGCATATTTTCAAGACCTAGAGAGGAAGCTTAATACTCAGCAAGTGTGGCAAAACTCTTTTCGGCGGCTGCTAAGCAAGATGACGACGGACTTCGAGCTTCATATAATATCTCTTTGTTAATTGCTCAAAAAGGCAAACCACACAACATTCGCCTCTGTGTGGCCAGGGGGTCAACTCTAGATCTCCGTCGACATCCATCCGAAACAATTACTGTCAAATAAGTAATATTCGACAAAATTAAAAGACAAATATGAAGCTTCATTCGCATCACGCGTCTTTTCATTTGGTCAAGTATTGCTTATTTGGCAGTAATTGTTTCGGACGGATGTCGGGCGAAGAACGAAACTAGACTCCGGAGACCCTCGGTGGCAAAGCGTCGTTTTCTAGTCCGGGGCAACCTTAAATTTGCTGCCCCCTCTATTTTTACGATTACAAGTGTAGTTCGTCCGGGCTGGCTCGGCTGGATTGTATTTTTATGTTCGTCTGCCGTCGCCATCTTTGTGTTGTTCAGTTTCTATTTTTGAGTAGTTAGGCTCCGCCGCTCACATTGCTGTGCCGCTCGGAGCCGTGGCCCCCTCTGCACCCTCCGCGCTACGCCAATGACGCAAAGGTTCTGGGTTCGATTCCCGGGCCTGGTGAAATATTTGTATGGACTACATTTATTTCTCTCGTCAATTTGGGTGTAATTTGTAGTTGTCTATGTGTGTCCATGGCACCCGAGATACAGGGGGGTGTGTGAGTTATTTTGTATTAATACGACTGTCGATAAGGTTCAATTATCTCTTGCTTAACTTCCTTTTAACCAGCTAGAGATCTGCTAAAGTACAAAAAAAATCTATAAAGAAGTGATTTCCAACAATTTACTTTTTTAATTAGATTAATAAAGTATATTTTTATTTTTAGGACGCCTCTAACAATGGGACAGAAATAGAAATAGAAGATGCACCGAAGAAAAATGGAACCAATGGAGAGGTTAGTGGATTTATTATTTTCTTTTAATATTATTGTACTAATACTACCCGTATTATTGATAATCCTGTGGCTTTGATTTATTGATTTATTCATGAATTGGATTGGCAGTTACTATTGTTATTTAAGTTAGTTTTAAGCTGTTGGTTTTCCTTTTAATCAAATAAACAAGAATACTAACACTAATAATAAAAATACAAGTTCCATTAGGCAACTGGTTTGGCACTTAGTCGCAGCTTTTCATGTTTACATTATATACTTTATATATTACAAAATAATAAAAAATGTAATTTGGATTATATATGTGAAATATCCAATCATCAGTACTACGTCAAATAAATAAAATAACATGAACTAAATTTAATTAAACAACTACGTAAAAAACAATGCCCATTTCGTCTCCCTACTTTCTCAAACTCGTATCTTAAAGCACAAAGTTACAATGAAAAAGTTATAATACATAATAATAATTTATTTATTGTTCTTTCCACCTTAACAATACAAATTACAGGGTATTTATCGTAAAGAACATCATACAGTGAAAATTGTGAGGTGGAAGACTGGTGCCTAAACTAGGTTGGACCTGTATTATAGGTCACCAGGTATCCACCACCGGATCTCAATGGTACAATATTGTGATGTTTTTGAAATTACTAAATGGGTTAGGGGATGTACAGTGCATGAATGTGCGCGCGCGCGTTTGTGTGTGTGTGTGTGTGTGTGTGTGTGTGTGTGTGTGTGTGTGTGTGCGCGCGTGTATGTATGTGTGTGTGTGTGAGTGTGCATGCATGCGTGTGAGTGTGATATATGTGTATGTGTGTGACGTGTGTCTGAGTGAGTGTGCAGAAAAGGCTGTGAAACGTTTAATAGAGTGTTGAATGAAAAAAAATGAAAATGAAAAAGTTACAAGTGAAATGCAAAAAATGGATTGATATACAAATATTGCAGGCTGTTTTCATATCACATTTCCTTCATATTCACTCCACTGGCTTTTACCTATAAATCTTAAAGTAAATGCATTCGAATTAACACCCTTGATAAGAAATTTAAAATAAATAGAAAGTTTTGCCATCTCCTGAACAACCACTCTTTACAAGATACGAGTTGTCACTTATGAGATGGCTCTGGCTAGATACCAACTGGTCACCTTGGACTCAATCGACAAAGGTGCCAAGAGGCTTATAGGTACACATGAATTACTATTTAAGTATTCTATACATATAACTGAACACAACACACCACATTATAGAAATATTTATGTAATTTATTTAAGTTTACTCATATATTCGCGACACACACGTCCGGTACTCACTCGGTTTTAGGGCCCACTGAAAATCAGCGTCACAGCCTTTCCTCGGTGGTGACAATAGCTGAGTGGGATCCTGTTACTTACGCCACAGCCGCGCACATGACACTTAGTCTAATTGTGTTAAATATTTCATGTTTGCTTTGTTGTTGTGTATGATGTTATTTTTATTCCTTTTTTTATTTTTATTTTTTGTTTTAATGTAGCTTCATCTTTTTTTTTGTCTTCATTTTATTACTGTGTATATTTTTGTTGTGGCGTAGTAATAAACGACTTCTATTCTATTCTATTCTATAATTAGTAGAGGCGAAGCAGAAAACCGCCGTAAACTTGCCTGCTTATCGATATTCTACAGGATATATCACGGAGAGCGTGCGATGGAGTTGAATAATTTGATTCCGACTTCCCCTATCCATCATCGAGGGAGTAGGCGTAGGCTGGGTTTCCACCCCTATGTTGTGGATATCCCAAGGATTCGCACGAAGTGTTATGCTTCCACATTCATATGGCGAACGGCTATGGAGTGGAATTCCTTGCTGCAGAAAGTTATAACTTGGGCCTTTTCAAGGCGGGAGTGAATAGGCATTATTTAGGTGTGCATGCTACATCGTCGACCTCAATCGATTCGAATCATCATCGCATCGATTTCGAACTCGCAAATTTATTGAATAAATAAAGGGATTCAGTTGAAAACAAAAACTTAGCAGGTTCCATGTAGTGCTTTAAGAAAAATATCGCTTTATATAAATTATGTGCAAAGTTAGATATTTTATTCTTATATAATTCGTTTTAGACTTTTGTTTTTGCCTGTTTACAGGATTTTAAGTGATCGGGCGAAGTATCTACATCCTATCGTGTAACGTATTAGCACATTCTTTAGACATTCCTTAACATTACGTTATATAACGCACACACTCAACATAGCCCCGCACTAGGGAAACCCTGTGTCGCGGGTGCCATGGACACACACATAGACAACCACAAATTACACCCCAACTCACGAGAGAAATAAATGTAGGCCATACAAACATTTCTCCCGGCCCGGGAATCGAACCTGGGACCTCTGCGTGGCAGTCCGGCATGGTAACCGTTCGGCCACGGAGGCAGTTAAATATATACCATTATTTAATAGTAAACACCTAAACCACTTGATCTATAGTCCATTTGTTTAGGTACCTACTTAACTAAGGGTCGTATACCAGAACTCTACTCAATGCTCAAGTCAGGATTGCACTGGAAACACAAGCACTGGAAATACGACACTAATGACAGGGACTTCGAGTATGATTTCGAGTGCTTTAAACCATACTCAAATCCTGACTTGAGCATTGTGTAGCGTTCTAGAATACGACCCTACATGTAAATAATCTTGAGATGTCTATTTAATGAAATATACATTGATAAAATGGTTTTTGCTTACCTTCAAATACAAAATGCAAGAACTTAGCTTCATATGAATTGTTTTGTAAAGTATATGTTTCAATAAACAGATATATCAAGATTGTTTATGTCCCAGTGGTTGACACTGTCCCAATGTATGGCACTTTTGAATTTTTTCTCAAAACATAAGAAAACAAATATTGATATTACTCCAAAACCGTGTTAAAAGTACTAGTAACGACATCTTTGAATTTAATTTAAAAGCTTTCATCGATTCATTTA